CAGCCCATGCTTGCCATAAGAAGTGACTATGCTTGTCGTATGAGGCGACTTACGGGATCGAGTGGTCAGACTCGCTGACTTGGTTGAAGCTTATCATCGTTTCCCTATTGTGCAGATTGATGCTCATAATGTCAATCACTGGAATGTCTGGTCAAGACTTGATTACGATTATTTACAGACCAACGTCACAGAGCTTGAATATTGCTGAGTGAGGCGTTAAACAACAAACAAGCAAACAAGCAATTAAAAACATTCCAGTTTTGAGTCTTCTTCTGAAATTGATTTTCATCGAAACAAAAGCAATTTGCTTTCTATGCTCTCCCAACAATCGAGATGTCAACGTGTTTACTCTTATTAAAAGCCACTTACAAGGGAATGTGATGCAAAATCCCATTATCGCATTTTTTTTTGCTGCTACCCAATTTTCGTGATATTTTTAATGGAAAATGTCTTTCATTTTGTTGCAGATAGTATCTTGCTAATAGCCTTGACTATACAAACACAAAGAAGTTCCAGTCTTCAGTATAAGCATAAAAAAAACCAGCTCTTGTTAAATAAAAAAATTAATTTCTTGGTGAGATCCTTTTTAATCTCCCATCATACAAAACATACATTAAATTTTTAATCAAGGTTCAGAAAAAAATTAGACTTCATTTGAAAACATGGTAACAGTCGAAACAGGTATTTTTTGTCAACATATTTGATGAGGCGTGTTTTGAGTGACCTTGAAGCAAGATCAACAAGAAGAAAGAGCTTCTAATTTATTTGATGGTAGGTATTGAATTTCAGTGAAATTCCAGGATGTTTTTAAAATGTTTCTTTCAACTAATTTATTACCAAGTTTCTTCTTAGATCTGTTAAAATGCGTGTTTGAACAGTAAGTTATGACGCTGTTAGTGATGTAATCACTTCCAGATTCAACCCCAGGATGCCAACAGTAGCAGCATTCATTTAAATAATCTCACCTCCCCGTTATCTTGCTTGTTTTCTTTTGCTTCAACAGTTGTTGCCAATACATAGTCATTATCAAATGTATAAACAGCTCTATCTGGGATGTTTCCAAAAACACCCAAAACGCCCATTTTCCATTCAACGATAACACTTGAAATCTTGCCCTGCCGACCGACTAGTTTCCTGGGAGCCATCTTTCTACTTTATATCAATGGAGCATCCCACTTATTTCACTTATCAATATAGGTAGCAAGCACAGTCAAAACCCGCCCTCACAAATCTTGGCATTTGGGATAAAATGATGTCAAACACCTTGCCGTAATAAACATACCCCCCAGATTTCTGAAACTGTAGCTTTGTGTAGTAAACATGCTAAATGTGAACAGACTGTGAGGCCCCTGCACGCAGTCAGGTTTATTCTAAAAGTTGGAACAGAGAATGAAATTCGGATTGGTGCCAGCAAACTAGATAAAGTATGGTGGTCCTTATCTGTGGTATTGAGGGAAAGGGTCACGAGTATAAGTGATTAGGCGTTGGAAACAACTTCGTTCTGACATTATTGTCAGCAATCATTTTTCCAGCTTCTTCGGACACATTCCTTGCATATGGCAATATGATAATAAACAAACTCATTGTTTTGTTTAGCTCTCGGTCAATTCAAGAGTAGGAAATGAATAAAAAATCCATATTTTAACTTCAGCCTGTGAGTACTCAAAATATAGGCAGAAGTAATGGTTATTTTGGGTATCCAAATTGTAGAATTATGTTTTGATGAAATTATAATTGTATAAAAAAATCAAAGAACCTATTTCATTTCTTAACATTAAAAAGAAATATTCTTAAAAGTTAATATCTGGAAAAATAAAAAACATGCAGTTACTTGTATCAGTTTCCAACATGAAACTGTACTCACTTGCTTTCATAAGAACGCAGGATTTGGAAAGACCTTCTGTTGGCTAATATTTTGTCATAAATAATCCATCTTCAGCAGATGTTGTGTATTTTTCATGGTTTAACAGATGGTATTTAAACTACACTTTCTACCTGGCATATGTGCTTAATACCTAGTAAATCTAATGAAGCTGAATTAAGTGCCAGAATTTACCTAGTACATTTAAGCCTAACATGACAGAGGTAGCATCAAAATTGAAATGAGTGATTAAAATTAACATTAACATCCATCAACACTCCCTGAGTTTCCAGCAGGAACTATGCCAATTACAAAATGAGTTGAGCCCTGAAATTAAACACCCTTGTGAACCGGTTGTTTACATAGGGCTGTACTTAAAGAATGTGTTGCTTTAATCAAAGCAAGCTCTGAAAGTCTATGGAGGATGAAATGTGTCTTAAATAGCTGTAAACCTATCTCAAACAAAACTCACTGGTTGTGACAGGTCCATCACAATTTCATTGAAACTTCAGACAAAAACACCCATTTGGATTTTCCATAGGAAATATTCTTGGTGGAGAGAATCATTTCTAGGTCTGGTTTAAGATCAAAGGAACATTTTATAACCGATACAACTAATTCCAATCTGTTACTCCTGTGTTAAGAATTAAATACAAATCAAATCTGCAATTTGTTTCAAAATAACTCATTTACCAACATTAAAATATGGCAAGTATTAAATTGATTCCTTTAGAACTCTTAGCTCGCACCTAGTTCAATGTTCATCAAAAATATATTCGCTTGATCAACTTTTTCACACAAAAGGACACATCGACCATATCAATGATTCTGCTTTTCGCATTTTTCGATATGGCAGCATTCAGAAACTTGTTACACAAAAGAAGTACTCCCTACAATCATTGGGCGAATCAAAAGAGCTGATCAACTGTGAAACATTCGACATCTTCCATCATCTGCTGGGAAAGCCTCTGAATTGTGCTTCTGAATTGAGCTAACTTGACGAGGGCTATACTCAATATCACAAATACCCCATCCTACAGCCCGTTCTCATATCAAATCTCCTGTGCAGAACATCAGGAAAGGATGGGTAGACATTAGCTTTCTCATGATTCATGCTGGCGCATGTTCAGCAATAAAAATATCCACTCCTACAAATAATTTTTTGTTGACAGGTTTCCACATGAATGAACGGCGATCTGCCTTTTGGATCCAAATTTGAACTCAGTGACCCGATGACATTTTTTTATTCGCGTGTTGAGCCCCAATTTGCAAAAGGCTCCGTTCACTTTTTAAGGGTTACTATATTCTTACTATTATTAACAATATAATTATCTGCACACATATGTCGGTTGTATTATCCATTGCTGCGTGATATGTAAATTGCATTAAGATTACCAGGGACGACACAGAAAGTCAGTGTTTAAGCTAATCTGAGCCTGTTTTTGTTAGCCTATTCCGTGGCTCCACATAAATGATACAAACAGTTCTTCTGTCTTGTATAAAACAGAATAAAAAGTGTTCCGATTGTACTACGGTACATACAGAGCTATTATGCAAAGAACAGACTTTTATTATGCTGAACGGTTCTCCAGCCAGCCAAAGAACTGAGAATTACCCTGGGAGGGTCTCAGAATATTAGTTACCTCCCTTTGAAATTGGAACTCTTCAGAGCAAGAGTGTAAAGAAATCACACAAAAGGAAAAGCATGCAAAAAAGAGAAATGTATACTTGAATTCACTCCCTTAATTGCCTAAAACTTGTTCAAAATCTATTTAAAAAACTGAAAATTGCATTTTTCAGCATAAAAACAGAAAATCTGTCACTTTTCATTAAGTGTCTAGCCAGGTTTGAAATCAAGAGGAGAACTTGGAGAGAATTCAACACGGTTTCCGTTTTTCGCTGACTGCTTCCTTGCATTTAGGCACCAACTTAAGCAGCCAGATAAATGAGTTTGCAAAGGATTCACATGTAAAACAGATTCTTGTGGAAGTTTTGGCTCTTCTCAGCTGATGTCAGTGAAGGAGCTTTAAGTTTGTAATTCTATCTTGAAATAATAAACAGCCACCATCTGGTTGCAGGAACACAATACCAACCTTCCTCCATGACAAGTTTTAAAAACACCTCTTAGAGAAACATGTCAAAAAGTCTGTGATAAAGTAGCAAGTGAATTGACTTACTATTTATACAGGTAACGTGGATGATGGCAGCTATACGAGAGGTCCACACCTGGGCCAGGCTACACATGCTGAAGGGACAGCAACACTAAACTGTTTTTACAATATCTGCTTCTTAAGTCACAATAAACTTTCTTTACGGCAACCCGTCCACAGAAGACATTTTTCACCAGTCTGAATTTTTAAAATATACATACGCCCCCACTATCACCATGCCTGTCTGTGTGTCTATAATCCTTTACTTGTCTGGATGAAAAATACAACCAATCACCTTATGAACTTCCCAGGTCTTGTATCGGTGGGACGACCCATGAAGATCCAGGTTAGAATAGATCTTCAGCAACTCATACAAGGTGACTATGCTGGTCGCAAGAGGCGACTAACAGGATAGGGTGGTCAAGCTCGCTGACGTGGTTGATGCTCCAAATTGTGTAGATTGATGCTCATAATGCTCGTGAGTCCCTCTGGCCCGTGTCCCACCCACCCGTGAGTCTCCCTGGCCCTGTAGGCCCACCCACCCGTGAGTCCCCCTGGCCTGTGTCCCACCCACCCGTGAGTCTCCCTGGCCCTGTAGGCCCACCCACCCGTGAGTCCCCCTGGCCCGTGTCCCACCCACCCATGAGTCCCCCTGGCCCGTGTCCCACCCACCCGTGAGTCCCCCTGGCCCGTGTCCCACCCACCCGTGAGTCCCCCTGGCCCGTGTCCCACCCACCCGTCAGTCCCCCTGGCCCTTTAGGCCCACCCGCCCGTGAGTCCCCCTGGCCCTGTAGGCCCACCCGCCCGTCAGTCCCCCTGGCCCTGTAGGCCCACCCGCCCGTGAGTCCTCCTGGCCCTGTAGGCCCACCCGCCCCTGTAGGCCCATCCGCCCGTGAGTCCCCCTGCCCGTGTCCCACCCGCCCGTGAGTCCCCCTGGCCCTTTAGGCCCACCCACCCGTGAGTCCCCCTGGCCCTTTAGGCCCACCCACCCGTGAGTCCCCCTGGCCCTTTAGGCCCACCCACCCGTGAGTCCCCCTGGCCCTTTAGGCCCACCCACCCGTGAGTCCCCCTGGCCCGTGTCCCACCCACCCGTGAGTCCCCCTGGCCCGTGTCCCACCTGCCCGTGAGTCCCCCTGGCCCGTGTCCCACCAGCCCGTGAGTCCCCCTGGCCCGTGTCCCACCCGCCCGTGAGTCCCCCTGGCCCGTGTCCCACCTGCCCGTGAGTCTCCCTGGCCCTTTAGGCCCACCCACCCATGAGTCCCCCTGGCCTGTGTCCCACCCGCCCGTGAGTCCCCCTGGCCCTGTAGGCCCACCCACCCGTGAGTCTCCCTGGCCCTGTAGGCCCACCCGCCCGTGAGTCCCCCTGGCCTGTGTCCCACCCGCCCGTGAGTCCCCCTGGCCCTGTAGGCCCACCCACCCGTGAGTCTCCCTGGCCCTGTAGGCCCACCCGCCCGTGAGTCCCCCTGGCCCTGTAGGCCCACCCGCCCGTGCAGGCCCAACAACCATGCAGGCATTTCTACCACCCCCTAGTCACTGTGGTCATCTGAACCATGTCCCATATGATACGCAGAAGCCATTGTGAATAAACATTCAGTGTGGAGCATCCCAATGTACATTGTATTTCAAGGCCCCTATAATCCCCCTTGTCCATGTATCCAGTGTAAGATACACTCACATTCAATCTGAACAGCTGCTTCTGTTTCAGAACATTTATGTTTTATTTCTGGAAACAGGTATTCTCTCCGAGATCAATAATACTTAAAAAACACATGAACATTTCATGTGTCTTTGCAACGACCGTAAAATGAAGGTCACGACTGTCTGAGAGAGGGAAAGTGTCGTTTATGGTCTTGGTGACCTTGTAACAGAACTGAAAACATTTGTGATCTGATACCACTGTTGCTCAAGTATCCTTAGAAAATAAATCCTGTCATATAGGCGGAATATGACTTTAATACCTAGTGTGACTTTAAACAAATAAACAAATAAACAAACAAACAAACAAACAAACAGATCGATCTTGAAAAAGTCAGTGTTTATCTTTTACCAGTATCTGTCAGTGAACAGTGGTAGTCAAAGACTTGTAGTAAGTGAAAATGGCACAGCAGTATATAACATTGAGGAGCATGCGAAGGGGTAGCCTCGTGGTTAAAGTGTTCGCTCGTCACGCTGAAGATCTGGATTCGATTCCCAACATGGGTATAATGTGTGAAGCCCATTTCTGGTGTCACTCACCATGATATAGCTGGAATATTGCTAAAAGCAGAGTAACACCATATTCACTCACTCACTCACTCACTCAAAATTAAGGGGATTCCTTGACCTTTGCTGCTATGATACACAAATATAGGGACCAGAGCTTGAAATGAGCTGCATATTTTTGTAAAATATGTATAAAATAAACAGAAAATATGCAGACAAATCAAATACTAGCTTATCAAATACACAACAAAAACTATAAATACTCTACTGAAATATAAACCTTATGGATATATTACAACTATTTGACAAAACGACGGCGCATATTACATCTGTTAGATAAAATGATTGTGTATCAGCCGATCGCAAAATTTACTTACCAACAGTTACATTCGCAAAGCTTGTGCGACCAACAAACTCGAATACCAATAGATTACATTTGAAAAGCACATTGTGCCTAGTCAATGTATCTTAAACAGTTACTGATTGGTGATAAAAAAATAGGGCCTTTCTTTCAATATTAGGTTTTGCAAACAGAAATGGCTTCCCAGAGAGGGAGACGCAAGCAGATGCAGACAGGTATACTTCTATTTATTTTGTTTAAATGATTTACAGGGATTGTTACGAAACAGGTTAAAATACCAAAATAGTTGTGAAACAGATTTAAGTTTTAAAAAACAAATGTCAAGAAACAGGTGGGTAAAAATGTTTTGACTATCCTTCAGTTGTTGTGGATACCCAATCAAAATGAAAACCCAGGTTAAAATATCCAAATAATCAAAAGCTTATCTTGAGCTCATGGGGCCTGCTAAATCTTACAGCTTTAACACTTGTATAATGACAATCAACCTTTGACCTTCAAGCTTAATTTCAAACACCACACAGTTGGTGAAAAGCCTATTTTTGATACTGCAGTTGCATGGTTTCTAGAAAACTCACTGAGTGAATGGAAATAAAATAGTATAATCTTTATATTCTTATATTTCAGTTAGGTAAATGCAAGTGGATATCCTTAAACTTTCCCAGTCCCATGATGGGATTTGAACCATGGACCTTCTGATCCAAGGTCAAATGCCGTGTCCACATGACCAAAGAGGTTAACCCCATCAGCAAGCTGACAAGGTAAGGATGTCATCTGTGGAATGACTCCACATCCTGCTACACTGACAAGGTAATCAAATCAAGGGCAACACCTCTTACAACCTTTGAGAAACCAGAACAGAGAAGAGTCCCTGAAACCTCCTGACCCTGAAATCAAGACAACGAAAATGGGGATTGTGGCTCCAAAATGGCTACAGACCATGAACAATACCTTGATGACCAACTAATCTGACAGAACATCTCTGACCAATAACCAGACCTGATTGAGAATGTCATCACACCCTGATCATGATGCTCACAATGTTGACCTCCACATGACCTGATACAGGCTTAGTTGCCTGGCCACCACTGTAATATTGCTTACCAACACATGATCCCATTCCTGCCATATCTCCCACACAACCCTTATATGAATAGCAGAAAATCATTGGTAGGTGTATGCATGACGCCAAAGTGTTGACACAACATCACAATGGGTCTTTACAAAGCCTCTGTAGACTATTCCTCCTTGACACATCTAAGACTTTAAAATTCTGGCATATCACACAGCATGTTATCACAGGGCAAGGACATCTCTAACTTTGAATTACTCAAGTCAACATCGATATTTCACAGAGTCTTTCTTGACAAGTCCCATGGTTACTATTAAAGATGACAGCAGGCTTACTGCTAAAATTGCAGTCCCCAAACCCCGATCTGGAAATACAGTCACCTTTCCATGGCTGTCGAGGGATTCAGTGTAATTAACAGGGCAAAGGACTACACAGCAACAAAGACACACATTCCCTTCTCTTGTACACTATTATGCAATGAATCCAGTAAATTTGAGATGATTCGCTCCTTTCAAACCGATGCCATCATAAATATATCTTTACAGCAATAACAGCAATAACAGCAACAAACCACTGTCATCACAGGCATATTTTTACATTAATGACCAGACCTCGGGATGAGCTGCATATTTGTGTAAAACATGTATTAAAAGAATTGAAATATGCAGACAAATCAAACTCTATAGAGTTATAAATACACAACAAAAACTTTAAACATGACACTGAAATAAACCTAATGTGTATATTACAACTGATGATTTTGTATCAGCCGATCGCGAAATTCACTTACCGACAGTTACATTCGAAAAAAAATCAAATACTGATAGATTCTAATTGAAAAGCACATCATTCCTAGTCAATGTACCTTAAACAGTCTCTGATTGGTGATAAAAAAACAGCCCCTTTCTTTCAATATTAGGTTTTGCAAACAGAAATGGCTCAATTAACAGGGAATTGAGATACTATGCAATTGGGATACAATGACATGAATCAACCAAGTCAGCAAGCCTGGCCAGGTGAGCTAAATGCCTTATCAAGGTGAGCTATATGCCTTATCAAGGTGAGCTACATGCCTTATCAAGGTGAGCTACATGCCTTATCAAGGTGAGCTACATGCCTTATCAAGGTGAGCTACATGCCTTATCAATCAATATAAAGATGGCGTCGCATCATTCCAGGCTATTGTGGACATCAATAACTCCCTCACCGACATGATCCTACCTATGTCAAAACCTCACACCCTAACACCTCGTCTGATAAGTGCTTGTAATCTCCTGGGCTTGTCAAATATATTTACTGTAATCCGCAGCATGATTCCATTCCACACTGTAATCTCCACATACCAAACTTGCCTAATTGTATGTTTTATATCCGCAATACATAATTGGAGATCATGCAGTACATGTCTAAATTATCTAACAGTATTTAACAATATTTTACGTAAATAAACCTACCCAACACACATACACCCTGTACAACACTAGAGGTGAATTGAAACATCGGTGCACCTGTGCATCGTGAGTTTTCATGTGATGATACGATACACAATATGTTTTTTTCTGTATCGATACAGATGATACACTTGCTGAAATATATTACTCACTATTCGTTTTATGACCCGTGGCATTTTTTGTGAGTCAGGTGTATCATAATGTGTTGTAGTAAGCGGTTCATGTTCACTACTCAAAAATGCCCCAACAAACATTTGTCCACAGCTAGCTTTTCCTTTTGAAACTACTCTGAGCATTTATTGTCAAGAAGTTTCCTTGCGATTTGACGTAAATATGATTATCGTGATATGTATCGTATCATGACCTATGTATCGTATTGTGACATTGCTGTATTGTTTCACCCCTATCAAACACACATACACCCCATTCATCACTCACACTACACACATTCAACACATACACCTACAACACACGCCACACGCACACCACTTACATTCATCACACACAACACACAACACACAACACATATTCAGCATACAGCACACATTCAGCACACACACAACACAACACACATTCAGGACACACAACACACATTCAGCACACACAGAACACACATTCAGCACATACACAACACACATTCAGCACACACACAAAACACATTCAACACACATTCAGCACACACTACACACATACAACACACACACTACAAACATTCAACGCACATCGAACTACCACCACCAACACCCCTCAATCATCCCACCGTCCGACCACAACAAATAAGAGACCTGATACTGGTCTAGTTATCTCCCTTTTCCCCTGGGGGTGGGGCCGACTGGACAGCATATCGTTATCTGCCCCAAGGGCTCCAGTGACAAGCAGATTACCGCCACATTGCCACGACAATGAGTGGCCATTCCAATAAATACATCCATTGCAGCACTGATGGTGTGGTGTGCCGTTCCTGACGACTGATATAATGCAGAGCGTGTGAGGACGTATTAGTCACTGACCGATGCTTTAACTGACCGACTGATCGCGACTGTGGCCGTCTGCAGTATGGGCACAGTGCTGTAGCCTCACAGACTATCAACCAATGCTCTGGAGCCATGGCAAGAATTCAAACTTCATCACAACTGTACCATTTGTGGCAGGTTTTGTGTATTAGGAGACCGATTATATGACAGTTTGATAAACAAATTCATCCCAGAAAAACAATAAATGAAGTTTAAATGAATATCATTTCGTCAAGTTTCTTTGCAAGACATGCTTCTATCTTACAATTAACTAATCATTTCAGATATTTGTTTACAGTTTGTTAATTAAATATATCTGTTTTCGTTCATGCTCTTTGATGTCGCTTCAGGTTACATGTTATGATAAAAAGTATTCATGTTACAACTGTTTTTATACAAACAGCTAATTCAAATTTCAGAATAGATTTTGTCCTGGTATTAATGAATGAACATTTATTTCAGTGTATCCAAGTTTGTTATTTCACATTCTCAGAATCAACCATATCCAATGACTTGAGAACCTTCAACAAAGGAATTTGAAAATCACATTTTAAGTACAGAAGGAAATATTACCAGCTAATAATCTCTAATACCATCCATCTTTAATACCAGCAATTCTCTTCGTATCCACACTGTATTGGTACTATGTGCCAAATTGCTTCGTAAATTGAGCCACAATGTAATTATGTTAATTATTATATGAATAATTATTTACACATCATTAAATTTCACCATGACAACCTTTCATGGTGATGAGAAAGGTCAACGAATCAACGGTAAAGGTCATTTTCTCCACTCCACTAAGCAAATCCCCTGCACAGAAACATACATTTCTTACATATAAATCGGACAAGTTCAACTAAATGTAATACCCTCATTATTATTTAAACATATAATATTTGTCTTCTTTAATATGAATATACAGGAAACATAATTTTAGATGATTCATTTTTTTTCGTTTCTTTATTTACCTTTGATTAATATGGAAATATTTTTAAGAGTTATAAATTTTACATCATTCTTGCAATTTATTAGTTCTTAAAGTATATGAATATAACCCTAAAACATTACAAAAGGATCCCATAATATTTAGTACTCTCGACTGTTTTTAACACATGAAGCATAAAATAAAATAAAATAAAATAGTCCTCCAACTTTGAAAATGAATGTTTACTGATGTTCAAATCAGAACAGCCCTTGCAGCGGCAGATCAGACATATGTTGGAGACAGAGTTTTGACAGCATTAACGTTGTGTTATTGAGAAGAATTGTTATCTTAACAATCTCTTCCTGCAGCCTATCATTCTAATGTCAGGTGCTTCACTGGCTGGCACACTGTTAATGTTTCAGGTTGCTTCAGAAATACCATTAGTTCAATCTAAATACAAAGCCAGGCACTTCTGTTTGCAGTCCTCAGGTGCAAACATTTAAAAAGACCACATTACAGAAAACAATATTTAAAAAAAAATATAACCCTTTATCTGAGAAAATAAAATTGCACGATGTCAGTGTCATCATATCAATTATTTCATTTAATTTTACATATATATTTTAGATGAATGCGTTAATGTTTCAATCAGATTTTTTATATGAATTCATATAAATTGGGTAAGTTTCATTTTTATTTATCTTTAGGAACTACGTGCGTCAATAGATCTAAAGATAGGAAATCCGTTTGCTACCATTGATATTGTTACAAGTTTCACATTGAAATTGAGGAATAAGAGGTTGTTCGCATATCATTCCACATGTCTTGTCATTTCCACAACGTCTTGGTAGTATCAGTCTCCAGCTTGCCGCTACACCAGCGATTCCTGACTTCCAGGAACCGCGTCGCAGAGACAGATCTACAATACCAGAGTGACGCCTTGGAAATTGGGAAAATGAACTGATATGGGCCTGGGAAGTAAATCTATACCCAACCCCACCATAATGGAACAGTTAACTACCTCTGACCACCGGTCAGATGAAAGGGAACGACCGACAGCCGTTGCATAACCCAATATAGCTCCCGTAAATCCCCGGTCGCGAGCTTGGCGCGAGCTATGGCTCGGCACGTGGGCTCACTTCTACAGCCTGTGAAAGCGTTCAGTTAGCCAAGCTTTCGGTAAATACCGCGGTCAGGGGTATGCTAAAATAACAGAATATCTCTCGCGGCCGTGTTTGATTAAATATGGACGAGCATGCCGTTCTAAATCTTTCCTTAGTGCTGTATCCAAACCTTGTGATAAAGGTGATGCGTTACGTGGAGACTTGGAAGGCTAAAAGCCTCGCACCACACCGTCTGACGGGTAAATCCTTTTATAAACATGGAACCACAAAGCCAAGGAATGATAAAACATGGTCAAATATAACCCATGGCTAGCTTTTATGATAAGTAACACGTTGACTTACCTTCTTCGGAAAGATTTCACAAGATACTCCGTAAACACCACACGTAATTCCTCAAGACTCTGAGATCTGCTGTCAATGTTATTCAGCCGCGTTCCGATTTGAGCGGTTCATCACTCGAAGAACAGAGGTAATTTAAAATCCGTTTGCAATATCACAAGCCTTTGTGATGCACTGAATCTTCTTCTCTCGCAAGAATCCGGGAATTGTTTAGGATCACATTTTCTGAAATGAGGAAAATATATCCGGATGAAAATCCGTGGCGTGACTAAACGAACATTGCTGTAAATTCAGTGATAAGCCCCCGATTCTCGAACCACTATCCACAAACAACACAAATCCGTGTATATAATGAGTGTTGAATGCTAGTCGCACAAATTCCCATACATACACAACACTTTTGCGTAAATAACCTGTGCCAATACGCATAAAATGGAAGGAGCGATACACACAAGCGGTATGACAACACGGGCCTTCCTCGTGGGGAGAAACAGTCTAAGCAAGATTGACAGTCGCTCCGCCCCCTTTCAGAAGCGCAACGGATGAGTGAGCAATGATATCCAATAGACAGTGTCTCTGCTCGTTGCTATGGGTGACAAGCATTCGCTGCACGCGCAGCCAAGTCTTTGAAGTCAGCCGATTCATCATCCTGTACAGTGCGGATTCGAGCAGATACTCCCGAATACCTAACAGAGAATTAATGAAAAACCCAGTTAGCAGATAAAAGCGGTGCACACTTAATCCACCGCTCGGCGAGGTTTGCGTACAATGCCGATAGGACTGTGTTACATAGACTTGGATATATTTTCCCAGCGTGTCTTTATGTGAAGGGATGTCGTTCCATTCTGCAGATTATGGTGGACTTAATGCCATACCTTTGTGTGTGTGATATGAATATAGCGCGTCGGTAGTACTTAAATAGTATGAGTCATTGTTTATAAATATTAGCATTGATCGCAGGTGTTTTATCAAATCTGAATTCATCTGGAGACAGTTATTTGAGGCAGGTGTTGTCCTTGTCGATTTTTTTTGTGTATTGTTTTTCTTTGTGTATCAATATGTTTGAACATTTTGTAAAGGACGGATAAATCGAGTGTTTACGGGAAATTACTTCGCTTCTTATTCATAACTTGTTTTTACTTAACAGTGACTTTTTTAACTTATGTCAGAATTGTATTTTCGGTCATTTTGTCATTTTTTAATAAAAGATCCGGAATGTTTCCTAATATTTTAGTTGTTATTTTTCGCATACCCTTAGGACAGACGGGGTTACAACCAATATTTTTTTTAATTAGTATCGTTTCGGAAATGCCCAGATGGATCCTCTGAAATAGGTCAAATTACAAGTTTCTAGTAGGCAGTCACAAAGGTAATAATACCCTATGGATCTCACTGATGTATCTGTAACTTGGGGAAACGGGCTGCGCACACTTCGGTTAAATAGCAACACATGCTTGCCGTAAAAGGCGACTAACGGGATCGGGTGGTCAGGCTCGCTGACTTGGTTGATGCATGGCATCGATCCCAATTGGGTGGATCGATGCTCATGATATCAATCACTGGATTGTTTGATCTGGATTATGTCCAGATTGCCATCATATAGCTGGAATAGTGCTGAGTGCGGCCTCACAGACTATCAACCAATGCTCTTGACTTCCATGGCAAGAATTCAAACTTCATCACAACTGTACCATTTGTGGCAGGTTTTGTGTATTGGGAGACCGATTATATGACAGTTTGATAAACAAATTCATCACAGAAAAACAATAAATGAAGTTTAAATGAATATCATTTCGTCAAGTTTCTTTGCAAGACACGCTTCTATCTTACAATTAACTAATCATTTCAGATATTTGTTTACAGTTTGTTAATTAAATATATCTACTAACGATATCAATCACTGGATTGTCTGGTCCAGACTCGATTATTTACAGGCCGCCGTCATATAGCTGGAATATTGCTGAGTGCGGCGTTAAACAACAAACCAACTAACCAACTTCGGTTAAATGTATGCGCGTGAACTATACGTTTTTACTGCTTGTACCATTTTTAACCCTGGCGTTTCTTTGTATTGAGATTACTTCCCAGGGTCTCTCTCTGCAGATATTATTGGGAGTTTTCGACATTGTTCTTGAAGTATAAGGGGTTACTGCTAGTTAAAAATCACCGAAAAGTTTGGTTTTTTTCATAACTTTAAGTGGATATAAAGTCATTTTGGTAGTTATTATTTATTTTAGTGACACTGTCGAATGCACATTTCCAAGAGCTTTCCACATATCTATAACACATGGTATGGTTTCCAAAAGAGGTCACGTGACCAGCATCTAATACATTAGGGTCGGAAATTACGTTTGAACCCGGTTGGAGTGCAGTGAATATAACATTTATATATAAAAAAAATTTTTAAAAAAAAATAAATAAATAAATAAAAAAAAAAATATATAACATTTATTGTCAAGGGGCGGTGGGGTAGCCTTGTGGTTAAACCGTTCGTTCGTCACGCCGATAACCCGGGTTTGATTCCCCAAATGGGCACATTGTGTGAAGCCAATTTCTGGTGTCCCTCGCCATGTAATGCTTGAATATTGCCCAAAGCGGCGTAACACAATACCCACTCACTCACTTTTTTCTTAAACTGCTGTTGTGATATGAAATCACTTCTAACTGGTCCCAAACAATTATGTTTTAGTGGTTCCATTCCACTGCTAAATACATGTTAAGTTTGTATACGTTGATACATAAAACGCTCGATCGCAGCTGTCAACGACATTTTCCCAAGCATTTAACGCAAACAGTGCAAACTATTGATAGATGTTTTGACAGTAAAACTCATCTCTTTTTGTGTTTATTCAAGTCAAAAAGGCCACTGGCCCACAGGACAAACATTGTCAATATTAAAACAAAATAGATAGTTGCAATATACACGAGAGGATTAAAACAATATATATACATAACAACAAGCAATTATTGATGAAGTGTAGGATACAGTTTAAAAGCGAAAAATATGTATTTACTTAAATTTAACAGTGTTTGAGGGCATTTGGAATTAATTAGCTTTACAAATGTTGTAACAGAAGGATGTTTATAATAAATAGGTTGAATATAAGATTCCCGGAGTTGAGTAAAACTCAACAATATAGGAAAAGCTACAATCCAGACTTCAGGTTGTTATTTTGATGGTGACGTATAAATGTAGTTAGTTACTCGGAAACCCATTTAACCCGGACGCCAACTCTCTGGATAAAAGGGGTTCGACTGTAACACCATTTTCATATTATGTTTGATTCCGACGACATCGTACAAGCGACAGTCAATGGAATTGTTCAACATAAAAATCAATGTGATCAAGGGAATTATAGGTGTCGTTTTCTTGAAACGCAGCTATTAGTGACGTCACAGCTTATGCGAAAGTTATCTTTTTGTAAAAGAACGCGGAAATCAATGACGTCATAGTAGACAAAAAATGAATGTTCACTTAAAGCGAGCACGGAAATCAAGGACGTCACGGATACTAAAAGATGCAAAATACCTTTGATCAACTGCAGATATGAAACTTGAAAGATGGAAGAAGGATCTCCACGAGCATCAGGGTTAAACTACCGGCTACTTTATTTCGTGCTACCTGTAATTCCAATATCGAAATATTTTCACCGCACTACGGTGAAATCTGATTTTAAGGGACGCGAAGAGAAGTTCCCCCCCCCCCCCCCCCCCCCCCCCCCCCCCCCCCTTCCCATGGTCGATGCCGATACCAGGACAAAACGTTCGTGGATATTTGGCTTGAATGGCCCCTGTTCTTTAGTGTGATAATAAGGTCTTGTAAAAGGCTTTACACCACATCTGTAACTTTCGCATCCAAGCGGATGGTGAATGTGATATACCCTGAGGCTTTACAATTTGGAGTGAGTGAGTGAGTTTGGTTTTACGCCGCTTTTAGCAATATTCCAGCAATATCACGGCGGGATTACAATTTGGAAAGTGCCACCCAAGTGTTTTGCTACTCCGGACAATCCTGATGATGTTTATGGAAACCATCTGTCCGGATTAATAAGGGTTAACTGTATGTTGAGGGGGGGGGGGGGGGTTATCGATTTTACATATTTTTTTATTAAAACTATGAATTTTTGGGAACAATTTATTTGTTAAGATAAACCCTGGACATGTGTGAGTGAATATTATCTTATGTTACAGTATTGGAGTAACGGTTTTGGGATTCCGAAAATAGACTTCACACATCCTCCCATGTTGAGCAGCAAACGTTGTACCGCTAGGCTATCTTACTCCTCCCATTTATTACACGACTTGGCTCGCGTGCTCAAAGCGAACATAGCACTAAGACCATCGTAACACCCATGCGTTAACACCCACCAACAAGAGTCCTAACGTTTGTGCAAGAAACCACTGAAATAAGCCATCCAGCTTCATTGTCAGGCGACAAGGTATCAAATCTGTGCCTTGAACATCAACACAGACACTGCTATTTGTGCTTTTGAATTGCATGACGAAATGTCCCTCAACTTTATCAAGGCTGCCCAGAAAACAGACGCAACACGCTTTCTCACTAGGCGTTTCTGTATCAAACTAAGGTCCATGCACACATCCTTGTCATTGAATGTGGCCTGTATCTTTTTCAGTTTGGGGAAGTCAAAAGGATCTTAATGACTAAAACACGGGATGTTTTAGTGATATTATTTAAAGAGCGGTATTCCATGGTCTTATTTTGGTGCAACAGTAGTCTGAACCATTATTTTCCCTTCCGCCCAGCTCTTTCTGTAATGCAAAAGCCCTAAATGAAGCAAGTCTTGATCTTCCTCAGGTTCTGAATCTCCCACCTCACTTGGGCTCCTTTTCAATTTAAATGGAGTTATCTGATTCTGACAAAGTTTTATATTATCAGAGTCTAGTGAAACAGCTGTGCCGTTTGAATGTGTGTTGACTCACATGGTAGGGTTGGACTGGAGTTATCGAACCTTGCCATGGAAAGGAGTACCAAGTTACGTGGCTAATCCATCTTGGAGTCGGGGGTCCGAACCTTATTGGTTGGAAACGTCTTCTCTTGGTTTGGCATTAGGCGCCTCAAATAAGACCTTTTGCAACAGAAAGAGTAGAACTGTCTATAAAGTCAATAATCCCCATTGACTGGTCTCCTGTCTATCTGTACAAGCGCATAGTTAACAAGCCATTGACTGGTTTCCTGCTATATTTTACAAGCGCACAGTAGCACC